AATCTAATTATATTTAAAATATAAAGCTAAAAAAGCTAATAATTTCTTATGAGTAAATGATTAGACTAATACAGCTTAATTTTATTTTGACTTAACTCTTGTTTATCAAAATTTAGAATTTAATATATCACTAATTAGCCAGTATTAGAATTTTTATAAAAATGTATCTTATATACAAAATGATAGTTACACTAAAGTTAAATACTATTTGTATAAGAATAGTGTGATAACAATTTGAATAAGTAGTTATAAAGGTTATATAAAGATTAAAGCTATCTTTAAGCACAAGAACAATAATAGTTATTATTATCTGTTTGTTTATATTAATTAGTTTGAAGATACATTAAGAAAATATATAAAATTAAATTGTCTAATATTTGTTCTTTATCAAAATACTTTATGCTACAGAATTTTTTTTTAACAAGCATGAATAGAATCTAAAAACCTTATTTTTTACACAATTGTAATGCAAAATGGTAATGCAATAATTATAATACAGAACATAATTACTATCTAAACAATATTTTCTTTTTTAAAGCTATTTGATATTTGATTTAAGCAAAAACAAATTCAAGATTCAAAATGCATTATTCAATATTTCATATTATAGTTTATATATATTAGTTTTTTTATAAAGAATTTATAATAGATTTTATAATTAATTGTAAACTTTTAAACTTTATATTTAGTACAGTATTATAAAAAAATATTAATTTTACATAATAAGTTTTTTATATAAAAATATCAGTTTTTTATAACTATAAAGTATTTATTAAAGTGTAATTAACAAGACTTACAAAGATTGTTATATAAAAACTAGAAATTAAAACTATTTAACTATTTATAAAAATTGTTTTATAGTTCTAAGCAAAATTATATTGGTTATAGGCTGAATTATTTTAATGCCAGCCAAATTAAATAGTTAAACAATTAAAAAAAATTTTAGCCAGTTTTAATCTCTAATAAAAACAATTTTAAGTAAATTAAATAAAATTTTACTTATAAGTTAATTTTGTATTATTATTATAAAAAATTGAGGTAGCTATCAAAGACCTAAAAAAATATTAATTTATATTAATCACTAAGTAAAATTATAGACAAATTAATATTTTTATAATTTTTTTTATAATGTAATATTAATAGAATTAACTTAGATAGAATCTAAATTTCATATCAACTTAGATTATATTTAGAATTCTTTTCCAATTTATGTGATTTCTAAATTTACAATAATTTTATTTCAAAGTACAATATAAATAAATTCATAAAAATTTATCATACAGCAAGCATTGAGTGCTATTAAGAAATAACTTTTTATCAAATTTGTAATTATATTTTGTATTAAACATAATCAGTTAATTTGTAAGAAAATATATTCAATATAAAATATAATTAAAAGCCTAATAACTGGTTTTTCTTTGGCAATAGTAATTAGAATTTTATTCAATCATGAGTTTAATTAGTAATCTTTATATAAGTAATTAAATTAGAAGTTAAATAACTTTTACTCTACTTTTCTCTTTGATCAATTTACAATTATTACAAGAACCAGAATAATAACAGAATAAAGATTATAATACTGCAATAGTTAAAAGGATGATATAAGTTAAAATACTTTAATTTCTTTTGAACTCAAAACATCAAACTTAATGATTTGCTTTTTTTAGATATAAAAAATTATTACTTTTATATCTTACACATTTAGTATATACATTATAAATAACATGCTATCTATATAATATATACTTTAAAGAATATATAAAAGGTATTAATTTGCACTTTTTATTCTGACTAAAAAGGAAAGTGCTTTTCTAAATATAAAATAATACTATACTACAAAAGAAAAAAAAGATAAAAAAGCTTTTTTTGGCTAGTAAATAAATAGATATCTTAGAATTTCTATAACATATTTCAAAGTTTATACACAATTAAGTATTTTTTTTTATTTTATCTTTTTATTTATTTTGTTATTATTAAAAAGCTTTTTTTCATTATCAATATAATCAAATCTCTTTGATTCCTTTAATTCTTTTTATATATATTATTATATATATATATATATATTGTAAAAGTGTATTAGTTTCTTAGCCATTAATGTAGTTATACAAGCATTAAATACTATTATAATGATAACTCAAAACTTTAAACTCCAAAAGAATAGGTCTCAACTAAGAAATAGAACTTTGTCTAAGAATTAGGATTTAAAATATCTTGTAAGCATTTTTTTATAACTTTAAATAGTTTTTTTTAATTTACTAATTTATTGTTCTATATAATACTGCAATAAGATTTCAAATATCTTTAGTCTGTTAATTAAATTATAATTTTCAAGTTATAGGTTATAAAATTACAAAATATTTAAATAACTTAGAGATAAATTAATTAATCACAAAGGTTATCATTATTACTAAGACTATTATATAAGTAATTTGTATAATGAATTTAATTTTTGTCAATAGTTATAGTATCTTAAATATTACAAAACAAGAAATTATAATAGTTATTAAAAACAATATTATAACAAAAAAAATAATATATATATTACTTATTGGTTAACTTCTGTCTTAAATATTTTAAAGTTTTGAGCTCCAAAGATTAAATTTATTAAGATAAGTATTATTTATTTTTATATATATCTTTTAAATAGTATTTAATTTTTAAAACCAAAATTTTAAATTTCTATTTATTAGGATCTATTGCAGTAGTCACAGGATTCATTAGTAAAATTTCTGTTTAGTATTTTAATTTTTTTGTATTTTTAGTTATATTTTACTTTTTTGATTATAGAACATGCTAATTTACTATAATATTCTAATAGTATAGTCTTAGTGCAACCAGATTGTAATTTACTCTTAACATCTAATTTGAGTCATATGCTATAAGATTATAATTTCTAATCATAATATTTCATTTTAATAAAATAAAATAGAATATTGTAATAATAAAAAATGATCCTGGATCAAAGAAATAATTCTAAATAATATAGTATACTACTAAAATACTAAGCTAAATTGGCTAATTATTACTATAATTAACAAAGTGTTTTTTATACTCTAATGGTAAATTCTAATTAAAACACAGAAACTTTGTTCAAAAATAGGATATTTTGTTTATACTATATTAATTATAGATTAATTTTAAAGTTTTCTTACTTTATAAACTTGAATTTATTATTAATTACTAACATTTATTATTACTATCTAACCCTTTTTATTAATATTTACTATATTAGTTACTTTACTATTTAAGTGTAACTAAGTTTTAATCGATCTTCAAGTTTCAAATTTTGAAGTTATATATCACAAAATTACAATTTAATAACTATGTATTAGTATATATTTATTTAATAATAGAGTTAATTCAAATTAGACTACTTAAAATTTTTAATATAAAATAACAATTACTAATATGATCTTTCTTTTTCTTATTTAACCAACTAACAAATTTTATATAAGACAGGACAAAAAAATAATATATTATAAATATGTACAAGATTGGTGCTACAGATCTCCTAAACTATAAATCAGATTTTAAGATTAAGTATAATGTAATATAATCAAGACAAATGTTTGTTATACTAATAATTGTATATAGCTCAAAAACTAGCACAAAAAACTAAATTTTGCACTTTATTATATAAAATATTTCTTTGTAAATCCTAATTTTAATAAATTTTAAATTTTAGTTTTTGTCATCAATTTTGTATATATTTACAATATACAAAAAAATATGCTAATATAATACATTAATAACATTATAATCAAAGAGGTACTTATGCAACTATTGCTATATATTCTATAATTTTGAACTCAAAAAATGTTATTTTTATTTTTTGCAAATATTATTGTGCCATTATATATATTTTTGTTACTATATAACTTTTTTCTAATATATTTGTTCTAACAGCTCAATAAGCTATACTTGTTTTTAATCTGCTATTTCTACTATTTTAATTTTGTATAACAGATTTGATAGATCTATTCTATTTAGTTGAATTGATCAATATCTTGATACTGATTATGAATGAAATTTTCTTTTTACAACATTGTATATAATAAAACTTTTAGACTATATACAAGATAGCTATGTAACATTATTGTATTAAAACTAGAAATATAATTAATAATCTTAATAATTATATATATAAGAGCAGATATCATATTAATCAAACATGTGTTTTTTAAATATGTATAATTTTTTCAACTGACAAGTTACCAAAATTATTAAATTATTACATTCAATCAGAATTTTGTATACAATATACTTAAAAACTCAATAAAATAGATAAATTACTAATTATTTCTGTTGTTTTTTTATGGTTGTTTTACTTGTTTTTATTGTATTATTGATTTGCTTTTGTAATTTATTGTGTTTAATCAGATTTTAATAAGAAATAAAATGCAACATATATTCAAGTCTTCATAATGTTTACTAATCTATGTATTTATTACATATCTATTACATATTTATTACATATTTATTACATATTTATTACATATTTATTACATATCTACTACATATTTATTACATATCTACTACATATTTATTACATATCTAAACATATTTATTACATATCTACTACATATTTATTACATATCTACTACATATTTACTATATATTTACTATATATTTACTGTATATTTATTATATATTTATTATTAAAAATGTATAAAAAAAAATTTTTTTATTTATTATAAATTTATAACATAATAATTTTATAATAGCAATTAATTAATATTAAAAACTTTATATAGTAATTATATTTTTATATTATATTTACTTCAAAATAGCAATATGCCTACTACAATTTATTATATATTATACTAAAGACAAAACATTTACTATAAAGTATTGACATTATGATATATTAAATTATATAGATGGTATATTATAATGTACGACAATCTGATTGTTTGTATAAACTATAAAAAGGTAGAATGTATGACTATTTCTTACTAAAAAAATTTTTTTGTTCTATCCCAAAAACTAAATATGTAAATATGTCTACTACTGGAAAAACAATTTCACTTCCTACAATTAATGAAGTTGAAGGATATAAGACAACGAAGGCTCTGATAAAATTTTTAGATAACCAAGATATAGGACTGGATGATAATAATTTCAAAATTCTTTGTGAACAAAAAGTTGATAGCGAAATGTTCCTCAGCTTAAATGTCGATAAACTTATGCAAGATGGTTTAAAAAGAGGACCAGCTAAAAAGATTGTTAGATTGATTGAAAAAATCAAGAGCCAATGACAGGGTAAGTAGTACTATGATTGCATTCGAATATCCAAACCTATACTGCTTTCTCCATAATAATTTCATTTATTAACTTGTGCCTCATATTTATTATACAGATACTAGTAAGTACTATGAATATTTTAGTTTTCTTATTTTATTATATTGTAATATCATTTACGAAATTTACAATTTTGCTTTTAGCCCCCTTATATTTATACTTTCAGTACCTCACATCAGAAGTTTATTGTATTAGTTCCAGCGCCTGGAAGGATTTTGGTCAACTATATGACTATTTGAAAAATTGTATTGATTTTGTGAGTCCATTAGAAAATTACAAGTTCATTGTTGGTGATAAAGAAATGAATTTTGGTTGGTTAAAAATGCAAATTATTGACTTCTTTAAACAACAAAAATGTTCGATTAATAATCCAGTCAAGATATTTGATAAAAAAAAGGTATGTTATCTAGTTTACTAGCAGAATGAAAATAACCTAAATTAATAAAATCTTATTTTGATGCTTATTACTACTTAGGAAAAGTGAATGAACCATCAAGTAAGCTGATTATGAATAGTATTATTCTATTAGTGATTTTTGGCAAAGTTTAATTATTTCTTGTACATTCTATAGAAGATCTGTCATATCATACTTATCATACTAGAAGTGAAGATGATGAAGAAATTGTACAGAAAGCTTTTAATAGAACTTTTCAAGATTTAAGTAACTTTTTAGAAAGGTTCATACAATTTATTGACAAGTGTTTAGATGATTATGAAACAATAAAAGGTTATTATGCACTATACACAACCTTAGTTCAAGGCAGTGCCACAAGAAAGTTCAAATTATTGATAAATGTTGCAGAAAAGATAATGACTGTATATTGTTGTCTGCAGGACTCCAAATCAAATGGTTATCCATTCAGATCAGATATTGCCAACATACTAGTAAGTGATATTATGAATGAACAAGAAGCTATAGCCACCTACCTTGTATACATATGCGCATGTTTTCAAAAAATGTAGGAATTTGATAGAGATTTTAAGGAATAGATAGATTGGCATACCAATAAAAATTCTCAAGAGAAATTTTAAAGAAATGTTAAGAACAGAATAGGAGATATCAAGTCCCATCTTATGAAATGTTCTAGAGATAGTGAGATGACTGAATTGGTCAAGTAATATTTAGTTAAAAAATAACATATAGAATGAAAAGGTTCAGTTAAATACCTGTTTGCATTTGATGAAGCTCGTACACTAGTTGGTAAGAATGCTGAAAGTAAGAACATTAAAAAAAATTTACTGTTCTATTATATTCGATGTGTTTTAATTATCTTACTCAAAAGAGTAGGAATTTTTGCAGTTTTTATGAACATACATTCAAATATTTTGAACTTTTCACCCACTTCTTACCTCGATCCATCTAAAAGAATTGCGTAGCATGGTTCCAAATTATTTGTGGTGTTTTATTTGCTAGACACTGTGGATATAAATTTCAATTCTGTTAATTTTAAGGAAGCCATGACATTAAAGGAGTCAGAAGACCCACAACATTTCTTTCAGTATAGAAGACCTTTGTGAAGTGTACTATTAATGCCTTTTAGTGATACTAAAGGGATGGAACCAGAACATATTATCGAATTGGCTATGGACAAGCTTATTGGTGGACAATTTTTCAATGTTTGGAGAAAAAACCTAATTAAAATATTGGATACTTTGACTATTCTAAGACCTCATTTATGTGTCAAAATAGCGCCACAATCTGAATATGTGCCTGATTTAATAGCAAACAATATGCACCTTTGTATTAAAGTCTTAGATGATCATAAATACATTGTTACTGTGATGCCTACCGAACCTGTGCTAGCAGAAGCTAGTGCTCAAATAATGAATAATTCGCATATCAGCCTTACAGAACTTATTAATAAGCTATCTGAAGCCTTAAAAAAAGGCATAATAGAGACTGGTTACCATAAAGAGCTTACAGCCAGATTGTTACTTCTCAATGTCTGGAATTGTTGCATCAAAAAAAAGATCTAAGATGGCATGAATATTAGTAGAACTTATTTTCGATTCGTGACTCTTGAAGAATTTTTTTTTTTTTTTAAATATTAATGGTGAGGCCATGCCTCTATCTTTATTGAATATTCAATTGAGATTTTACAT